CTTATGTACTATGTGAAATAGGAAGAAAAGGGCTAAAGGTATAGGGAAAATGGGAAGGGTAGGGGAAAGGTAATAAGGGAAAAGAAAAAAATATGACAAAATGAGAAAATGGAATAAAGTGTTTGTAAATGGGGAGGAGGAGGTGAAGGGAGGGCACAGACAAGGGGAAAAAATGAGAACCAAGACCTGTCATGTAAAGGTACAAGATCCCAATAATGAATGTAATTGTACTGTATACGTAAAATGTACCAATAAACTCAATAAAAGAAAAAAAAAAAGATATGCTTGATCCTAAAAGGATGTTACCATGTCCTTCAAAACCCCTGAGACACCATTCCTTGAAATCTTTAACAAGGCAAAGTCAATTGCATATGTTTGTTAGTTATGTATTGCTTTGTAACAAATTTAATCACTTTAAATAAAAAATAAGCATTTATTATTAAAAAAAAAATCACACCTTCCAAATTTAAAGTCCCAATCCAAAATTGGACATCTGAAATGAACAGACATTTCTCAGACAAAGAAGTAGAAACAGCAAATAAACATATGAAAAAAATGTTCGACAGAACTGGCCATTCAAGAGATGCAGATGAGAAACCAGGCATGGTGGTGCATGCCTGTAATTCCAGCACTTGGGAGGCTGAGGCAGGAGGATCACTGTGAGTTCGAGACAAGCCTGGGCTACAAAGTGAGTTCCAGGTCAGTCTCAACTACATAGTGAGACCTTGTCTCAAAAAACAAAAACAAATAAACAAACAAACAAAGAGAGATACAGATGAAAACACTGAGATTCCACCTCACCCCAGAAAGAATGGCTGCTACCCTGAAATCAACCAATAAGAAATGCTGGCAGGGCTATGAGGAAAGAGGAACCCTGCTCCACTGCTGGTGGGAGTGTAGACTGGTGCAACCACTTTGGAAATCAATATGGATATTACCTCAAGAACTAGGATTGAAAGACCCATTTGACCCAGCTATTCCCCTGCTAAGTATCTTATAAAAGAATTAAAAGAATCATACCACAGTGATATATGTGCACCCATGTTCACAGCAGCACAGTCTGTAATAGGTAAAACTTGGAAACAGCCCAACTGCACATCAACTGAAGAATGAATAAAGAAAATGTTTTTTTTTAATAAAATGGAGCACTGCTCAGCCATAAAGAATGAGAAATTAGAGACATTTATAGCCAAATGGATGCACATTAAGACCATACTCTTAAGTGAAAGAAATAGGACACATATATGCAAATACTGAATAGTTCCTGTGGTTGAGAAACTGAAAGTGTAAATAAGGATCAAAATGTATAATAAATAATGTGAAACAGGAAGAAAAGGTGAAAAAGGGAAGGGAAAGGGATAGTGGGAGGGGTAGGGGAAAGGAAAGAAGGGAATGGAATTAATATGAGAAAATGAAAAAAATGGAAATAAAGTCTTTGCAAATAGGGAGGGGAGGAGGGGTTAAAGAGAGGGTAGGGAACGGGGAGAAAAAAGAACCAAGATAGATCATGTAAAGGTACAAATTCTCAATGATGAATGTCATTATATTGTATACCTAAAATGTAACAATAAATTAAAAAAAAAACTCTATGCCAAGTATACATGTTTTAGGGACAGTCAGATGTAGTTTCATATTGAAATGTCCAGTTGGGAGTATGGGTCTGCAGCTTGAAAAATGGCCTGAATATCTTGATTTTCCTAACAAGAAGGGACTTGGGACAGTTTAGAAAAAGAATGAAGGAAAGATGAGGTTGCTGTGAAATGTACCCCTTACATGCTCTTCTTCGAAGAATGGAGGTGAGACTATAGGACTCATCTTAGGAGTCAAAATGAAAGAATGTAATTGATCTCAATTTAAAATGTTGCCCCCCAAATAGTATCACCATGAAAAACCATTTAAGGAGGAGCTATGAAGTGAATGAGGGGACCAGCATGGGCTTTGATGATTTTTTCCAAAGCTGAAGCCCTTTCTCACTTCCTGCCTGTAGTTCCCCTGAGCTACACTAACACACACATCAGGTAAGTGGTGCTGTTCCCAGGGTCTGTTACTCAGCTACACGTAACACAGTAACCTATGGGGGAGAAGCAACAAAGAAGCACTCCAGTGTTACCAGTGCTGTTTTCCTTACCAAGTATACCACAGGAATATGCTAGAAATGCTGTATCTTTTTAAACAAATACTTTAAACTAGAAATATTTTAAATCCAGAGGAGCTCTGAAACTATGGAGAAACCTAAATAAGCTCTATTCCCAAACAAAATTCTCACTTATGCATAGATGATACATAGATGCCCTACAGACCAGGTAGCCCACAAGATTTGGCCAGTGTATTGGTAGATTGGTCCAGGCTATTGAAACAGATGTGCATCTCTATTTTAACAAGTATATTGCCCTTGCATTAAACATACTCGCTGCTAAATTATTCACATGCCAGGCACAGCCTGAATCACACTGTATTCTTTCCAATACCACTTAGGTGTCAAAACAGTGATGTGCCCCTAGTGTCCAGCTCCAGCCTTCCTCAGTGACTTGGTCCTGGCACACCTTGGATGAGAGCCTGGGGAAATACAAGGGACTGACTAAAGATCCAACAAAGGTAAGTAATCAACAGTCTCTAAATAAACTGAAAATGTACAAAAGGAGACAGAAGAAAAGCAATCGCCCCAGTTCAAGACAAAGGGCTGAGCTGCCATTATTCTTTTCAGGATGGCCGACAACATAAAGCTGTGAATGTCAAGCAAAAGACAAGTGGGACTTGGTGTGGCAGAAGTATGGATCTGGTTTGACACTGTCCTCTTTTCAAATACATCTTAAGCTTCCATTTCTGGATCCCTCCATGTGTATTTTCCTCTGTCTTCTCCCTTCCCCTCCTCTTTCCCCACCATTAGTCATCTTTGGAGGCCTTTCCTTTGTCAGGCCTTTCTGTTCACACAGGCCCCAGTGGTCCTTTTGTGTTTCACTGCACCAGCGTTAAAGTGCACTACAGTCACTGTACGGACTCAATTCATTTTTACATCCCACATAGATAGGCTAGGGCCTGAGAAGTATTTCATGTACATGGGTACATGCTTGCCGAATGGATGAACCCATGTACACACACTCTAGCACCATGGATTCTTACTTCTCATAGCAAGAAACGGCAGCCTCTCTCTCGTCAGAGGTGCTAAATATAGTACTATTTAAATAACCCATCAGTGCAGGGCTGTCACCAGCTCCAGAATATCTGGACAAGAGAGTGAGCGGGTTTGTCATTAAACCCCAGTATGGCGTCTGATGATGATGTTGCATTTCTCTCTGCATAGTTAGCACAGCCATGGCTCCTGTTAACTTTCAGGTCTACTCTGTCGGAACCCCTGACTCTCAGAATTTCTGCATCCTGCAGACTCAAAGCTTTGAGAAAATGGTGTATTAAGTAGTGTTTCATGTTTCTCTAAAACTAAATGGAAGAATTTCAAAAGCAGGATTTTTAGCACCAAGTTAAGAGCTACAAGGGAGTGTCCAAAAGGCGTTCCACTATGTCTTAGGCTGCTGCCCTTTTTTCTGTTCATAAGGGACAAATCAACAGCTGGATTCTAGAATGTGCTGTCACACAGGCCACTGCCTTCCATCTCTGGAGACAAGCAACCTCCATAGTCTTGGGCTAAAAGGAAACACAGAAACTATGCCATAGAGGTCTCCTTAGTATCGCCAATCCTGTTAATTCCATGGGGACACCTCTTAAAAGCCCTCCTGGACTCCAGAAAAGCAGTAATGTTCCCTGTGCGGAACATTCCTTCCCTTGGAGGAAGAACATTGTGAATGCCTGGTAATAAGCAGTAAGAATGCATTTACAACTTACATTAACAGGAATCATTTAAAAAAGAAAAAAGGTTGAACAGTATTTAACATTTGCCTCTGCTCTGTGAGGCTGAGAATCTAACAAGCTTCAGGTAACCAGTCCAACACCTATTGGGCATCAGTATCTGAAGGCAAAGCTGCATTTTCAGTAGAGAAGAGACCCAAGAGTAGCTGCTGAATGGTTTGGTGAACATGGAAAGTGTCGCAGAAATCTGAAAATGGGAGTTGGTGGTGTGAATTCTTGTTCCAGACTTGTTGCTAACTAACTGTTCTGTGACTTGGGATAAATGGCTGATCCATCTCTCTCCTTGGTTTCCTCGACTGTAGGAGCTATTTATCTTACCTCAGAATATCAGAAGAAAGTAACTGCAATCAGATATAAATGCCTAATATGGGCACATATTGTTACTCCTAAGCACTTTGGTACCTCCCTCCTAAGACATGATTTTGCCCATGAGGAGTGAACCATATGGCTAAGTAGACAAAGCATAAAAAAGAAGAAATGTCTGTTTGTTTATTTTTGTATCAGGAATCAAACTTAGGACCTTGTGTTTGCCAGGCAGGCACGGCACCACTGAGCTAAATCCCCAGCCCTAGAAATGTCAATTTAAAGCATGTGGCAGATCATACAATTACAGAAAATCAGAATTAAATCTAGTAAATGATACCAGCCTTGAAGATGCTGAAAGGGAGTTCCCAATGTCTGCAAGAGTACAGGAGGAAGTCCCAAGAGAACATCTGACCTGAGTGACAAGAAGCACTGTGGAACAGGTGCTGATACTCTCCAGGCCTCAGGGTGCTGGGGAGCACCTGAGAGAGCAAAGCCATTGGCTGGGGAAGCCAGGGATTTGGCGGGTAGGTGTGGCAGGAAGTATGTTAAAAAAGGCAAGCTGGAATCCTATCTGGCAGAGAATTTAATCATCACTAAAAGGGTCTCAGCTATCCTTCACTCAGGAGAAGCCCAGAGATGGTTTGTGAATAGATGAGCAACCAGTAAAAAAAAGTTTACAAAGATCACGCATTATAGAAATAAAACGTGTTATCATTGCTATTCTTGACACCTACTACTGAAGTTCAGCACTATGTGAGGGTAACCCAGATGGCAGAAATAAAAACATAAAAAACTGAGATAGACTAATGAATAATGCATACCAATTTAATCACCCAATGATACTCTGTACTCACAGGGAGCTGGCAAGATGAGAAAGCTAAGAGCCTCTGGAAACTAAGCAAATAAAATCAAAGCAAGTGAATTTAGGAGAGCAAGTCTTCCTCTACACAAAACACTGTGAGAAGCCATGTTTCCAAAACAACTTGACTTTCCTGACAAAACTCCTGGTCTGTCTCACCCAACTGACCACTTCAAGGACTCTTCTCCATTCACTTACTACTTAACCCTCCTCCATTTTCTTATATACTTCATAGTCCTGGTATGATCTTATCTAGCCATGTGGCTGCCTCCTGTCATGTAACTCAGCCTCAACCTTTCCTGAAACTTAAACCCACATATCCAACTTAAATATCTGTATTTTGTGCACAAAACATATAAAGTTTCATTTAAAAGCCACAAATAAACTCGTGAATCTTTTATCACCTGTCTCCTAGTTTTTTCCACCTCAGAAAATGACACTGCAACCTACTTGGCTGCAAAACCAAAAAGCCTAGAAATTACCTCTCTTCCTGTCTCCCCCTTACATCCACACCAAATCCCACAATGAGGTTCCTGAACTCTACATACTTCCAAAGGATATCCCAGAGCTGACACTTCTCCATTCACACTATTCTCTGGAACTTTTTTTTTTCATTATTAGTACATGTTTGCAGTACATAATAATTATATTCCTTTTGAGTTGGTACATGTACATTACACATCTTAATTCCTTTTTTCATCATTTTCCCGACCTCTTCCTCCCTCTAGCTCTTGATCCCTTTCTCATTTAAGATTTCTCTCTCTCTAGTTTCTATTATCTTTTAGTTTGCTCTTTATATTTTGGATTTCTCATATAAGAGAAACAATGTGATATTTAAGCTTATGTGTCTGATTATTCCATTTAACATTATACTCCCAAGGTGAATTCATTTTTCTATAAAAGACTCATTTATCCTTTGATAGACTTGCACTGCACTGTATGTAAACACATTTTCTTTATCCATTCATCTCTCCATGAACATACACGTTGCTTCTAAGATTTAGCTATTATGAATTGTGCTACTATAAACACGGCTATGCATGTAATATGACATTTTTATCTCTTTCAAGAAGATACCTAGTAAAGTATCCTGGAGTTTCTAATTTCAATTTTTTTAAGAAGCTCCAATTTGATTTCCATAGTGGTTGAATTAGTTCACATTCCCACCACCAATATATAAGGATTATTTTTTTTTTCCTGCAGCCTGGCCAGCATTTATTATTGTCTGATCTCATGATGATGGCCATTCTTGCTGAGGTAAGATGAGATCTCAGTGTTGTTTTATTTTGCATTTCACTAATGGACAGCAATGTTGAACATTTTTTCATGTATTTACTGGCCATTTGTAATTCTGAGAAGTGCCTATTCATTTCACTTGTGCATACTTGGGGTCTTTTACTTTTCAGAGATCCAAATGTTTGTTTGTTTGTTTGTTTTATTGGTACTGGGGATCAAACTTGGGGCCTTCCACTTGCAAGGCAAGTGGCAGAACCCCTGAGCTAATTCTCTGGCCCAGGTTCTTTATATATTGTAAATATTAGTCCTCTGTCTGAGGAACACTGTAGTGGGCAAAAATTCTTTCCCCCTCTAGGTTTTTTCACTCCAGTTGTTTCTTTTGCGGTGCAGAAGCTTTTAAATTTGGTATGATCCCAATTTGTTGATTCTTGGTACTATGTTCTGTGCAAGCAGTGTTCTGTTCAGAAAGTCCTTGCCTGTGCCTATGACTTCAAGAGATTTAACTTTATTCCAGCAGATTAAGTGTTTAACATTGAATTCTTTGATCCACTTTTATTTTAGTTTAGCATATGGTGAGAGATACCTTCCATCTTTTGCATGTGGATAGTCAGTTTCCCCAGCACCATTAAAGAGGCTACCTCTTCTCCAGTGTGTGTCTTTGGCACCCTTGTCAAATAGCCAATAGTTGAACATGATTAGGGTTGTTTTATATTCTTTGATCTGTTCCACTAATCCTGTTTTTGTACCAGTACCATATTTTTATTCACTAAAGTTTCATAGTGTAACTTCAAGTCTGGTATTATGATGTCTCTTTGGTCTTGTTACCCAGGATTGCTTTTGATATTCTGGGTCTCTTCTGGTTGCATATGAATTTTAAGATTTTTCTCCAGTTCTGAGAAGAATGCTAGTGGTGTTTTGAATGAGACTGCTTTAAATCTGTACAGTTTTTGCCTATGCAGGAATAGGGGATATCTTTCCATCTTCTGATATCTTCTTCAATTTCTTTTTTCAGAGTACTAGTTTTCATTGTAGAGGTCTTCCACTTCATTACTAGGTATTTTTCTTGGAGCTACTGCGAGTAGTATTTTTTTCCTACTATCTTTCTCAGTGTGTTCATTATTGGTATGCAGGAATGATACTGATTTTTGCATCGTGATTTTATATCCTGCTACATTACTGAATTTGGTTATTAATTCTAGGAGCCTTTTGGTGGATTTTAGGGGGTTTTCTGTGTAAAGGATCGTGTCATGTGTAAATGATAATTTGACTTCTTTCTTTTCAGTACCTATCTTTTATTTCTTTTTCTTGCCTTGTTGCTCTTGCTATTGTTTCAAGTAAGATGTTGAACAGGAGTGGTGATAGTGGACATCCTTGTCTTTTTCTTGACTTTAGTGGAAAAGCTTTCAGTTTTTATCCATTTAATATCTTATTGGTAGTAGGTTTGTCATAAGTGGCTTTTATGAGATTCAGATAAGATACTTCTATGCCTATTTTCCTCAGCATTTTTTTCA